GCAGACATAGAGGAGGGACTTGAGGACACCGCGGGGAGGGGGAAGCTGGGGCGAAGTGAAAGTAGCATCAACATGTATACACTACCAAAAGTAAAATAGATACCAAGTGGGAAGCAGCAGCATAGCACAGGGACATCAGCTAGGTGCTTTGCAATGACTTAGAGGGGTGGCATAGGGATGGTGGGAGGGAGGCTCAAGAGGGAGGGGATATGGGGATATATGTATGCATATGGCTGATTCACTTTGTTGTACAATAGAACCTAACACAGTATTGTGAAGCAATTATATTCCAATAAAGATGTATTTAAAAAAAAAAGAAAATGTGGTATATACATACAACGGAATATTGTTCAACCTTAAAAAATAAGGAAATCCCGCAATATGCTACAACATGGATGTGCCTTGAGGACATTATGCTAAGTGAAATAGGCCAGTCACAAAAGGACAAATACTGCATGATTTCACTTATATGAGATATCCAAAATAGTCATACTCACAGGAGCAAGAAATAGAATGATGCTTGCCAGGGGCTGGGGAGAGGGGCAAATGGGTAGTTGCTAATCGACTTGTATAAAATTTCAGTTGTGCAAGATGGATGAATTCTAGAGATCTGCATTACCACAACGTGCCTATAGATAATAATAAATGTATTGTACTCTTAAAAATCTGTTAAGAGGGTAGATCTCATGTTAAGTGTTCTTACCACAATAAATACAAAAAAGAAAGAAAAAAACCCAGATTAATGGATACGAAGATGTGAGATATACATGTACACATACACACACACACACACACACACACACACACACACACAATGGAATACTACTCAGCCGTAAAAAAGAATGAAATTTTGCCATTTGCAGCAACATGGATGGACCTGGAGAGTATTATGCTTAATGAAGTAAGTCAGACAGAGAAAGACAAATACTGTATGCTATCACCTAATGTGGCATTTAAGAAATAAAAAAACAAATGAATATAACAAGAAAGAAGCAGACTCACAGATATAGAGAACAAATTAGTGGTTACCAGGGGGAAAGGGAAGGTGGGAGGCCAAAATAGGGGTAGGGGATTAAGAGGTACAAATTACTATATACAAAACAAATATCTACAAAAATAGATTGTACAGCACAGGGAATATAGCCAATATTTTATAATAACTTTAAATGGAGTATAATCTCTAAAAATTCTGAATCTGCATTGTACACCTGATACTAATATAATATTGTAAATCAACTATACCTCAATGAAAAAATATATGAATGAAAAAATGAAAAAAGGAGATAGCATTTCAAGTCAAGGGTTTTTATTATGACTCAATAAGATTTGAGTTCTTCAGATAAGTTATGCCTATTTCTTGTCAAAGCTGTTTCTTTATTACTCTTAATGGTTGGATCCTCTTATAATCTCATTTTCTAATATGTTGTTTCTGCTATGTTTTTAACATTCATCAAGACATGCACTCATTTTTAAGTACTGTAGCTTAAACCTTAGGTTTTTAAAATATTCAGCCATATTAAAATCATAATTATTTTTAAGTACTGTAGCTTAAACCTTAGGTTTTTAAAATGTACAGCCATATTAAAATCATAATTATTTTTTCTGCCCCCTTCCCCTAGTCTTGCCTCATTTTTGCTTCACATCTTGCTTGCTGCATAGTCCAGAACTTATGTTCAAAGATGCTTAGAGAAGGCAGATATTTTGGTCTTCATTTGATTTCATTGGGAATGCCTCCAACATTTCACCATTGGGAATGATGTTGACTCTTGTGTTCATATAGAAAATTTTATCATTGTGGATGCAGCCTCCTATTTTTAGGTATTTTTAAGAAGTCAGAGTTCATGTTTACTTCTACCAAATGCCTTTCCAGTCTCCATGGAGGCTATCAGATGCTTTCATTCCCTTATTTAGGCTATTGATATGGTACATTATTGCTGATCAAAGCACCTTCATGTACATGGAATAGACACTTACTTTAGATTTTCCAAAATGCCCTTGTAAATACTCTTCATTTGAGTCACAAGAAGGCTGGGATGGAGTGCTTGTCTCCTGACGAGGTGGGTGGGAAAGGACTAGAAGGGCAGAAGGGACTATGTGGGTGCTGGGAATGTTCTGTGTCTTGATTGGTTGATGGCTACTCAGCTGTATACAGTTGTCAAAACTGGAGCAGATACTTAAGAAGTGAGCATTACTGCAGGGAACATGTCCCTCCATGAGTACATGAGCCTGTGAACTGCTCAGGGTGAGAGGTTCCTCTCCATCTCCATAGAGACTCGGGAGGGAAGGTGGCTGCCCATGTCACACAGCGGGCTGGTTGCCGGGCTCAGTTCTGGAACCCAGGACCCCTGATTAAGACCAAGGCTGTTCTCCACTGTGTTTTACAGGAACCAGCAGAAGCTGAAGCGTCTCACACGAGAAGAAGGCTGCTGGTTCCAGCAAACGGTGCAGACCCCACTGAAAGTGAGTGCTTTCCCCGGGCACTGGGGCAGGAGTGGAGGGAGGAGGGACAGTGTCCTAACTGCCGTCCCCATAGCTGTTAGGGCAACTCAGAGCAGGGATGGCTTGTCACTGGACCTTCGGGACTCTAATTCCCTCTCTGACCCTCTTCTTCTCCCCACCCTGCACCCCTCTGTCCCCTAACAGTGTCCCCTAACACCTCCCTGTCCTTCCCTGCCCCCCATCCTCCCTCCTCCCCTGTTGCTCAGGGCCAGGTTGGCCCACCCTGAGGCATCTAAGGGGCTGTGCCGTCCAGCAGGGCACCCAGGGGCCGCAGGAGGCTGTGGAGCACCTGACCTGTGGCCAAATCTGATGAGCTGTAGTGTAACTCCATACTGCATTGCAAAGAATTGGTAGGAAAAAGGACTGTAATATGTCTCATTAACAGTTTGTTGTATATTGATTACATGTTGAAATGAAAATTTTTAGAATATATTGAGTTAGTACCCTATTTTATGAAAATTAGTTATTACTTGTTACTTTTTACGTTTTTCAGGGTAGCTGTTAGAAAATATAAATTTGTATCCGGGGCCCACCTTATGTACCTATGGACGGTGTTGTGCACTACATTTCACACACGTCTCATTGAATCCCCAGTACAGTCCCGTGAGGTGGGTGGTGTTGGCTCCGTTTTACGGGTTAAATTCTTGCTCCGAGTCTGTCCCCATCTAGCTCTGCCACAGTGTCAGTCAGCGAGGCCGAGCTGGGCGTGAGGCCAGAGACCTTCCTCCCTCCAGGCCCTTGCTCTGTCCCCACTGCAGAGGTGGCAGCCAGGTGACCTCACTCTCGTGAGAACGGCAGGTGCCCTCCTCTGAGGTCTGTTGCACCACTGTGTCCCGCCCTCTGTCTCCTACCACAGACTGCCTTCTCCCTCCATGACGTCCATCTCCCCTCCCTGGTGGGCCCTCATTCCCCGCTTAGGGCAGGACTCTCTGGAGACCTGGACTCCCTGCAGTGCTTTGGGCACAGGTGAGGCCTAGGCAGTGTGGCCTGATTCTCTGCTGATGGGAAGCATGTCAGGGACGCAGAGCAGCAGGTTCACCAGCAGGGGGCGCTCCTCAGCTCCCACCCTGGGGTCTAGGCCTGACTGAGGGTCCTCTGCCCTTTCTGAAGCCTGTCCCAACTCTGTCTCTCTGACTTTCCCTCAACCTAGGTCTGAGACTATTCTTCGATTACTTTGCAACCGCCGTGTCCCCTAACTCCTGGGACTCACTCATGAGGCAGTTGGGCCTCACGCGAAATGAGATCCTTCTGGCCAGAGAAGGGGTCCGGGTCCCTCGGGATGCCTTGTATGAAATGCTAGAGACCTGGGTCAGCAACAAGGGACGGGCGGCCTCAGTCAACACCCTGCTGGATGCCTTGGAAACGCTGGGGGAAAGACTGGCAAAGGAGACAATTCGGGACCACCTGTTGGGCTCGGGAAAGTATGTCTATGAAGATGGTGAAGCAGGCTCTGCTGTGTCCTGAGTCTAAAAGAATCTCTTTATGAAACTACAGCTTCCCTACTTTACCTTTTCTTCTGGAAAGGGACACATGATTGGACACCAGCCTGGATGAAACAGCCGGTACTTGACGAATACTTGAAGGAACACTATCATCCGATATGTGCAGAAGTTGTAGAGTTCTAGAACTTTTCAGTAAAATGAGTAATTTTTATGAAGTGTCATTGATAAATGATGGTGGAAATATTTATAAATATTTATGCTCGTGTATGTACTGAGAGTTGATTTAGGATGTCATTTAGTTCAGAGCACTTTGTCATCCTACCAGAACTGCACGTTTTACTTGTATTTTTTATATTGTGAGATCCACCCATGTTATGTGTGTACTTAATTATGTCTAATGATGACTTAATATTTTATGATAAGCATCTTTCCATTTTAATATTTTTGTATAGATTTATATGAACGTGGGAAACCTTTTGGAAAGGTTACTTACTAGGTTGACTACGTGGGTTCCCTGGATGGGAGCAGGCAACCATAAAATCAGTAAAAATACAGAGCAGGGAGGACGAAGCCCACTGCAGTGGGAGGCACTGGTGGGATCAATTCTCCCTCATCTGGGAGTTTGACTTTGTCTAGGATTAGATGACCAGCAACTTTTAAAGTGTCCATCATTTCCAACTGACAATTTTATAGGTGTGGGATTATTTATATTATTTATTGGTAGATGTTTACAAATGAGGAGAGAGTGAGGAGAAGTAGCATCCACATGCAGCCCTGTGTCTGGTATCCATGAACTGGGCTGTCATGCATGGGCCTCCTCCTGTTCATCTATGGACCTGAGTGGGAAGGGTGGGACATGGGTGGGACACGTGAGTGTCAAATAGCTTCTACGTCATGTGCCACGTCTGGTTTTGTTAGTGAACCTTCAGTTCTATCTGGGCTCCAGGGAGAGAGGACAGGGATCTGCTCCTAATGTCTGCCATGGTCTCTGGGAGGAAGAGTGGACAGTGCTCATGGATTGTGTTCAATGTTGGCTGACTCAGCACTAGATGAGCCCTCTCACTTACGGTGGTCTGAGTCCCAGAACAGCCTTTTTAGGGTACAGATTCCAAATATGAGGAGCTTAGTGCCTCTGTAAGCATCCCACTTCTGCATGAAAGGGAACACATAAACACAAATTCTTTTTTTCTTTTTACCATTAGAATGTATACTTTATTTTTTAAAAATTTTCCATTTTTAAAAATTGAACTACAGTTGGTTTACAACTAAGCCTTCACGCCACAACTAATAAGCTCGTGTGCCTCAACAAGAGAGCCCACGTGCTACAACTACAGAGCCCACACACTCCGGATCCCCGCATGCTGCAACTAGAGAGAGAAAACCCGCACGCGACCACTAGAGAGAAGCCTGAGATCCACAACTAGAGAGAAACTGGAGCAGACTATGCACCATAACGAAAGATCCTGCATGCCTCAACAAAGGTCCCTTGTGGTGCAACTAAGACACGACACAGCCAAAAAAAATAAAGAAAATACATAAATAAAATAAATAAATATTAAACTCTCATCCACTGCTGGAATGAGTGGAAAGTGTGCAACCTCTTTGGAGATGTCTGGAAATACCTGCCAAAGCTGAATATACACATACCTTTTAATCCAACAATTCTACTCAAGGGCTTCTGTGAAATACAAGAGAAAACATTTGGAAGTGAAATGAAATGAAAAACTGGGAAACCTCTAAAATACCCATCAAGAGTAGAACTGATCATAGAATTCCATTCACACAATAGAGTCCTCTAGAGCAAGGAGACTGAACAAACTATAACTACATGTAACAGTATTGATGAATCTCACAAATACAATGTTAAGACATGAAAGACTGACAACTGGAAATGAATTCTACTTACGGAACATGCAGAATCTAAGGTGTCAAAAGTGAAGGTGGTGGTTTCTGTTGGGTGCTGATGATAGGAAGGAGGTGTGAGTGGGGCCTCTGGGGGATTGGTCACGTGTTGCGTCACTATGTGAAAATTCATCCGACTTATGAAAAGAGCACGAATATATTCTTTTGTATGTATGTTATACTTCAATAAAAACTTTAAAGTGTGCCTCATAAAAAGATGCTGTTTGAGGGTGCTGCCAGTAGATGCCCTTATGTGCAAGGGGCTTAGGAAGGGGCTATCCTGGGGGACTCTGCCAAGGAATGGAGGCCAGGAAGACATGTAGAGGGAGGAAATGGGAAGTCCCAGGGGTCTCCACAAAGACAGTAGAGGCAACACAGCCCCTCCCCCAGAGAAACTGAAGCCCTGACAACAGGCAAGGGAAGAATGGAAATGGCCTTACTCACTTGGCAGATGGCCTTCCCTCTCGAGAAGTCCCCAGCACACAGCATGTCCTCGTGCACAGAGAAGCTCTTGCCTTTTTTAGGTCCATATAATATATTACAGAAGTTGTAATTCATCTACTCACCCCTCCATCCATTTGCCCATGCACCCATCTTTTGATCCGTCTCCACTCACTCCATCTATCTCTGCCTACCATCTTTGCACCCACCCACCCATCTTCCCTTCCAGCCACTCATCCTCCCACCTACCCTTCGCCCATCCATCCTCTCATCTAACCACACATTTATTCCTCTGTCCTTGTGTTCAGTATCTTTTAGACACTAATGATACACGAGAACATTTTTACTTGGGGGAGCCAGTGACACCGAGCAGGGCCCTGTGGGGCTCCGGGGCACAAAGCCTTTCTGTGTCCCCCATTTCTTTGATCACAGGAAATAGACTTCATTCAGCCTCCATGACCTTCTCTGAGTTCCACTGGGCAGATTCAAGCAGTTGTTAATTAGGGAAGGGAGGGGATGCCAGACCAGTGAGAAACAGTCAAGAGAAACAACAGTGCAGCCTTGGGGCAAGGTCCTGGCTCCCCATCAACGGATACACAAAACAATATCTTTGAGCTGTTCTCTGATACTGAAACCCCCTCCAGGTGGGAGAAGTTAATGACTAACAATGGTATGCTGCCCACAAGCATGTAGACCTCAGACCAGTTGAAACCTGAAGGACGATGATGCTGACTCCTACTTACCTCACAACCACCTCATCAGAAGAATGTCTAAGAGCTGATCATGCCCTCTTTGAACCATTACTTTAAAACTTCTCACTATCCTCTCCAAGGAGACACACAGTTTTTTGAGGCAGGAGCCTGCTGTGTCCCCCTTTGCCTGGCAAAGTAAGAAAGCTATCCTTTTCTACTTCACCCAAAACTCTGTCTCCGAGATTTGATTTAGCACCGGTGTACAGAGAAGCTGAGCTTTTGGCATCAACAGGGTAAATGAAGTAAATAAGACAAATTGTTTTAGATCTAAGAAGTGGTGTAAAGGAAGTAAAACAGGGAGATGTGCTATTACGGGTTGTCTGTTGTAGCTCATATGATCAAGTAAAACTCCTCACAGGAGCAGCTGAGTTGTACATGTAAAGAAATGAGTCATGCCAAGGTTAGCAGGGAGAGCAAGTGAGGACAGGGAGGCAGCCAAGGTGGAGGCCCTGAGGTGGTGATGGCCTTGGCATATTCAAGCAGGAAGGAGGCCTGCTGGCTAGGATGGTGTGGGTGAGGGATGTAGTAGGAGATGAGCAGAGAGGAATGGGGGCCAACATTACGCATGGCCTGAGAGCCAAGGTAAGGAGTTTCGACTTTTTTCTAGGCATAAATGAGAAGGCACTGAGGGTAATGAGCAGGGAACTGGCATGAATCCTGCTTTAAAGCAAACACTCAGACAGCTATGTGGAGACTAAAGTACAGCACACAGGGTGGGATCTCGGAGACCAGTCTGGCGGTCCAGGCAAGAAACGAGGGTCTATAGGACCAGGGTGGCAGCACCTGGGGTACCTCCTAGGTGCCAGGCCCTGCCTGGGGCAGAAGCTGGGATATTAAAACAAGAAATACAGGGTTCCTGTCCTCAGGGAGGAACAGTCTGTGTGTGTGTGTGTGTGTGTGTGTGTGCGCGCGCGTATGTGTGGTATGTATGTGTTGTGTATGTGGTGTGAGAACGCTGGGAACGTGGTTGTTTGTCCTATGATTAGGGAGTGTTCATGACATACTAGTAGGCAGGGGCCAGGGATGCTGGCACATCCCACCCAAAGAAGACAGGGTCTTTTCCAAATGCCTGGAACACCTCTGTTGAGAAAACTGGTACCAAATTATGACCCTACAAATAATTAACATATATATTCTTTTTCCTCCTAATATGGAACCATAAGCATATCCTCAAACCATAAACACTCCTTTCCTTAATAAAGACTCTGGCTCATAAGTCTTTGCCTACATTTCTCCTCTTTCAATCTTAAAAACCATAATTTTTTTCCTGTGTTACTCAGTTCACCTAATAAGCTTACAAAGTAGATAGCTGAGCTGTGTTGGGAGAAGAGTAAAGTGAGGTTCAGAGAGCGAAGCACTCTTAAATCATAATCATTCTAACTTCATCAGGCAGGCTCAGAGGGGAGAAGTCATACATGTGTTTTCCTTCCACTTTTCCCAAGTTTCTCTTATAGCAATGGGAAATCAGCGTATTTGTCAGTGGCCTGCAATGGGCCAGAGCCCAAGCATGACCTTTGAGTTGAAGCAAGTCCTCTCAGATCCATGGTTGATTAAAACCTTGGAATCCAGAAACAGAAAGACTTCAAGAACCCAGTCTTGATTCAAAAAGTCAAAGATTCCCACACTTTCAGTGCAAAGATTTGCACTTAGGGAACACTGAAGCTTTATTTATTTATTTTTATCTTATATTTTTGTAACATCTTTATTGGAGTATAATTGCCTTACCATGGTGTGTTAGTTTCTGCTTTATAACAAAGTGAATCAGCTATACATACACATACATCCCCATATCTCTTTCCTCTGGCACCTCCCTCCCTCCCACACTCCCTATCCCACCCCTCTAGGTAGTCACAAAGCACCGAGCTGATCTCCCTGTGCTATGCGGCTGCTTCCACCAGCTATCGGCTTTATATTTGGCAGTGTATATATGTACATGCCACTCTCTCACTTTGTCCCAGCTTACCCTTCCCCCTCCCCGTGTCCTAAAGTCCATTCTCTAGTAGGTCTGCGTCTTTATTCCAATCCTGCCCTTAGGTTCTTCATGATCGCTTTTTGTTTTAGATTCCATACATATGTGTTAGCAAACAGTATTTGTTTTTCTCTTTTGGACTTACATCACTCTGTATGACAGAGTCTAGGTCCATCCACCTCACTACAAATAACTCAGTTTCGTTTCCTTATATGGCTGAGTAATATTCCATTGTACATATGTGCCATATCTTCTTTTTTTATATCTTTATTGGAGTATAATTGGTTTACAATGGTGTGTTAGTTTCTGCTTTATAACAAAGTGAATCAGTTATACGTATACATATGTTCCCATATCTCTTCCCTCTTGCGACTCCCTCCCTCTCACCCTCCCTAGCCCACCCCTCTAGGTGGTCATAAAGCACCGAGCTGATCTCCCTGTGCTATGCGGCTGCTTCCCACTAGCTATCTATTTTACGTTTGGTAGTGTATATATGTCCATGCCACTCTCTCACTTTGTCACAGCTTACCCTTCCCCCTCCCCATATCCTCAAGTCCATTCTCTAGTAGGTCTGTGTCTTTATTCCCATCTTACCCCTAGGTTCTTCATGACATTTTTTTTCTTAGATTCCATATATATGTGTTAGCATATGGTATTTGTCTTTCTCTTTCTGACTTACTTCACTCTGTATGACAGGCTCTAGGTCCATCCACCTCACTACAAATAACTCAATTTTGTTTCTTTTTATGGCTGAGTAATATTCCATTGTATATATGTGCCACATCTTCTTTATCCATTCATCCGATGATGGACACTTAGGTTGCTTCCATCTCCTGGCTATTGTAAATAGTGCTGCAATGAACATTTTGGTACATGACTCTTTTTGAATTATGGTTTTCTCAGGGTATATGCCCAGTAGTGGGATTGCTGGGTCATATGGTAGTTCTATTTTTAGTTTTTTAAGGAACCTCCATTCTGTTCTCCATAGTGGCTGTATCAACTTACATTCCCACCAACAGTGCAAGAGGGTTCCCTTTTCTCCACACCCTCTCCAGGATACATTGTTTGTACATGTTTTGATGATGGCCATTCTGACTGGTGTGAGATGATATCTCATTGTACTTTTGATTTGCATTTTCTAATGATTAATGATGTTGAGCATTGTTTCATGTGTGGCAATCTGTATATCTTCTTTGGAGAAATGTCTTTTTTTTTTTTTTTTTTTTTTTT